GTGGAGGTATTTTTTTATGACTTAGTTTTTGCTTCAGGGGTGACTAAATGTATTATAGGTTACTGCCAAAGTCGGGCAGGCTTGTTTTCTCGAAGTACCTTTTGAAGGCACTCTCAAATGAAGTACAATGTATAGTCTAAAAACTAGGAATGTTGCCCTAACTACAATTGAAGAATCTGAATATATTCAGACAACAAAAAATTTCTAGCTCTAGAAATTGAGTTCGATGAACAAAAAAAATGCTTCTTCCCATTTCTCGCAGAATGGCAGAATGAAAGTCTATGACGCCTAACTTTCGCAAATAACTCACAAAACTTGAGAAATAGAGTTCAAGTTTATATATCCTGAGCGTTCGGAGAAATAGTCGTTAATATAATAATAATAATAATAAATAGCATTTATACTGGGCATTTCTGAACTATTTTCTAAAAAATACTCAATGCGCATTACAACGATATAGGCATGTATAAAAAATATTGAAGGCGGGAAGTGGCTGTTTATGAAGCTACAGCGAGCACCTACCACCTAGCACTGTGAGTATAATTAACTAGCGGGGGAAGCCCCGGAAGACGACAAAAATAGATAGCGAAATACATATAGGGCCAATTACAGAGGTGTGCTAGGTGCTTGCTGTAGCTTATTGTGTTTGTAATCCATGTACAGGTGGTTGTCTAAAACAGGGGGGCTGTCTTGTTAGAGCAGGTTGAGCTGTTATTTAAATTATGTTACATTATGTCATTTTAATTTCTAAGATCTATCCGGTATGTACTCGTTTTAAATCAGGCATGTGGTCATCTCTTGGAGGGTGGAGGTGGAGGGGATGATGGTATCGGATCTACTTAGTATAGACCAGGGGTCTCAAACTCAAATTACCTGAGAGCTGCAAGAACAAGAGTCTGGGTGAGCTTGGATAGCATCAAGTTTTCCACCCAAAAAATTATAAATTACAAAAAAAAAAAGTGTATAATGATCTAATCTTTTCAATTCATTATCAATTTAATAGCACTTCAGAACATAAACTGCTCCACTACAGGTATAGACTTTTTGCAAAAAGGTGAAAGTGAAAGGTGTATATTAGAAAGACATGTTAGACTTTGATGACAAACAGAGGTAACAAAATATCATCCAGCAGGCCTCAAGTAGCCCATGACCCATGAGTTTGAGACACTGGTTTTACATTTTTGTATCGTTTATTTTGCTTTTATAAACTTTTTCAAAAGTTAAAATTTTTTTTTGCTGGCTTTAAGATGCTTACAGTTTTTTGCATTATAAAATATATATATATATTGTAACAAGATCGCTGGTTCTTACCTATACGCACGTCAGATCACGGAGATATTATACTCTTCTTCAGCTATAGATCCTCTTGTACGAATTTTTACAGTCCACACACACTAACCACCGGCCGGTGTCTAACCAGACAAACCACAACCTTCTCACGCTAGCAACACAGTTCACTCACATGCAATTCCGCTTCTCGACGGGAGTGCGTTCTCGCTCACACTTTTGCTGCACACCACACACATGACAACATAATACGCACGTTTCTGACTCGTCCAAAAACAACCTACATATATATAACTATGTATCTCTGGTTTTCATGAGTAAGCTGTTATTGAATGTGGATTTACTTAGTAGTTTGATATGATATATTATACCATCTATAGTTCTGTGTATAAATTTTGATTTTTGTTTTTTTCTTCAGATGAAATAAATTTGCGCTTGCCTTGTGTGTCAAGACTTTAAAATCACCAAGAATCTCAGGTTGCAAATTTGACAGGACTTCATCTAGAATCCATCACATATAATCATGGCAACATATGGGAAAGGATCATTTGATGGTTTTACTCCTTACCAGGGTGACTCCAGAGAGGGTAAGATAATTGTAGTTTTAGGGTCCAACTCAGTGTTTTGCTTAATGTACTTCCAGCATGTAGGTTGGACACAATTTGACATTTTTGTTCATTGTTTACAGATAGTGTGGCAGCAGTCTTTATGACTGTTATAGTTATATAGAAAATATCACTTTGTCTAACATGACCTTCACCAGCAAAAAATGCATATATATATCGTCGTCCATCTCACTAAAGGGCGTAAGTGCATTTTTGGCATTTTTCAGGAGAGCGTTTTAAAGTTTTGGACACTTTTTAAGTTCTTGCTGTGGCGTAACCGGTTGCTTTTTCGTTTAAATTTTTGGCAAGATATTAGTACAACCACCGATTTATCATTCCCTATAATGGTTATAGGTATTGCGTAATCAGTTTTTAAAGAAATGGTCTAAAATAGCTGATACGCCTGTTTGTGAGAACATAATTATGTCCGTAAAGACACAAGATTGACAATACGCCACATCGTTTGGTAATAGAATATAAGAGAAAAGGGATTTTTTTCTTGATTATAGAACAGGTTTATCAACTCAATATGCCAAAGTGATCTATATTGGGGGTGAAAAACGACAAGAAAAAGAAAATGAAACAGCTTTGGGGTCTCCACTATGTGACTATATGAAATGTAAATAACTTAAAGAGTTTTAAGCTTTCTTACTCGTCTTCAAGGTATTATAAGAATTTTCACAATACAATGAGTATAAAATTACTAGTACTGCACAGATCCTTTCATTCAGGACTGCGCGCCATCCTTAGACAACAACAATATTAGTAGAAAGATAAATTCTGAGCATGTGTAATACCTTATAAACGTTTTAGCCCATAATACTTTGTTTATCAATGAAATATAATGAAATAAAGTTTGTTAAAAGAAAGATTAAAATGATCTGGAAAGGCACTTCAACGCGAAAACACAGTGCAAGTGGTAACCTGTCATAAGGTAGATGTGGCAGAGTTAGAAGAAGATTGTGTGTTCCTCCGGTCTGATGAAAAGTATACTTGGCTATATGGAATTTTTTAGGCTGGTCAATGGAACGTCTTTGACTTGATTTTTCTGGGGCTTAAAGATCACTGTTTGGTACTGTGGGTTTGTAGGAAATAAATAGTTATTGAATAGTCTCTGTTGAGTCTGTTCCATAATATCACTTCAGTTTGTGATTGTATTGCAGCTGAAAGCATCTTCTTTAAGTTTTCTCACTGTGGCTTTTCCGTGGATGCGATTGTTCAGCCTTTGTTTTGTCTCCTCTTCAGTTCAGGTTTGAGAGCTAGTCCTTTTAACTCGAAACTGACCTACAGCAGTGATGTGAGTCAACAGCGGGGAACCTCGCAATATGAGCATTAATAAGAGTGGGAAGTTTTTCATCTCTTTCTTTGACAGTTGCTGGGCATCATCATCCTCTTTTTTCTACTTCAATAGTTTCAGCTGATATTGTCTTACAGATGGCGGTACTCATCGACAGTCAAGTAGTATGTATTGGTCTTCTGTCCGAGAGAACAGCTCGTCCCTTTCATAGATTCAGAGCAGTCCTTGTGACCAACAACAAACTCACGTTATAGATAATGGTCTTCAAGTCTGTAATATTGCTGGAACATTTCCTCATGTGTTTCATTCGCAATAGTGTGATAGCTTCGACCATATTTCTTATAGCTTTCAAATTCATACCAGTCTCAAATCCTGTGGGCGACGAAATGTGTTGCCGTTATAGGGCTAAGGAACTCCTCTCCAAAATGTCCTTTGTTGTTAGCTTCTTTATACTTATTGGACTGTGGACCTTTCCGAGCAGTCACTTCTTTGACAGCACCTTCTGTCATGAAATTTTCAGGTTGAGTACAATATCCAACGACGACCGAGTTATTCTCTTCTGGTTTTATCCGTATTCTACTCATGATGCTATGTGGCTTTTTTTAAAGACTACCATGAACCTGTTTCTTCCACAAAGTGACAGTATGTATAACACAGGAGCAATACACACCTTCCACAAGCTGCAAATATGTCCTTCTTGCATGACACAGAAACCAGGTTGGAAAGACGGGTCAGCATCTAAATCGTCAATATAATCAGAACTTTCTGCAATACCACATCTTTGGGGACTCATGGACCTAATTAAAACTTTTACTTGTAGAAAATATTTTAAAAAGTGAATGTTTAGAAGCTTACAAATGAGCTAAGGTACTATCACTTTATGGGTACATGAACATCAAACGCTGAAAGCAAAGATGAAATTTGAAGCACAGGTACCAAAAACAACACTGTCAACTTGAACTAATGATAAGGAAGCGCATAAAAGTCCTCAATGATGCAGTGAGAAAGAATCGCAAGACTACTAAACATGAAATGAGACGCATCCCCCTCATTTACAAGTAAGAAAACAAAAGGAAACATCTCATACCACGGCGTATACGGTCACATGCCTCCGTACATATTCTCACAGAGGGGCGTAAGAAGGCATACGCCTCTATGTGAGATGCAGTTTCCTGCCCGAGAGCTATAGGGCTAAATGATTTTTGCTCATAACTCCGCCATTTTTAAAGCTATCAATACGTCGTTTTGAGAGAAGATAGATCTCACTACCAGACACACCATGGTGGTGTTAACTCAAAACTGGTATTTTGACGATACGCCCTTTTGTGAGATGGGCGACGATATATTTCCTTCTTTTAATTTTAAGAGTAAAAACAAAGACCTCTGTCATATAAACTGTCCCATACTCAATGACCGCAAGAAAACAAATAATTTCTCAAATTTTGTGCAGGTCTTTACGTAATATGAGACAAATTATGTTTGATCATCGGGGCGCTATAATCTTTGCTCGAATTTGAACTGGTTGGATGAGCACCGCTGCATTAGCCAATGTCTTGGAGTTACCCGGAAAAAGCCTTTTGTGTTAGAAAGTACGCTAAATTCAAGTCCGAAAAGAAGCTTTTGCGCGGAGAAGGCCTTTATTCCAGATCTAGGTCTAGTGCACCGTCTGAAAGAGTAATTGGGGGGTGTTTCGAACAATTCAAAGTGAGAGGATGTTTGTCAGAAGGCCATTAAAGGAAGGGAGTAAGCATTTACAAAACTGCAAAATGTGGAATCAGTTTGCGCATCGGTCATGACAACGCCAAATAAGTCACTTCAAGGTGGTAGCAGTGAACTAGGCTAGTCAAAGTCCCCAACTTACATAATCTTAAAGCATGATTTGAAAATAAAGCCATATTATTATATATATATAGATCAATGGCCAAGAAATATCAGCCCAAACTAAAATAAAAAATTTAGGTGTAGCGCTAGATCAAGATATGTCAATGAAATCCCATGTATCCAATCTTTTTGTAGAAATCTGTATCTCCAACTGAAGAAAATAGGGAGCATTAGAAAATATCTATCTGTTGGTGTCACCAAAACTTTAATAACATCACTTTTATTGTCAAGGATTGATTATTGCAACTCCTTACTGGCTGGTGTACCTGATGAACAGTTACAACAACAACAAAGAGTACAAAATATTGCTGCCATAATAATTACTAAGAAACTAAAGCATGATCATGTGACTCTTATTTTAAAAGAATTACACTGGCTCCCGGTGAAAGAGCGTGTCATATATAAAATCTGTTTAACTTGCTACTAGTGCTTACATGATTTATCACCGGACTATCAAAAACAGTTTTTAACACCCTATGTGCCCCCTAGAACGCTCAGATCATCAAATGACAAAACAACCCTAGTTAAGCCTAAAATAAATTACAAATCATATGGCCAACGCTCTTTTTCATATTTTGCCCCACTTGTTTGGAATAGGCTTCCAAAAACTATCAGAGAAGCAGAAAATCTAGAAATTTTTAAGAAGAAACTAAAAGCATTTCTATTTTCATCATATTTCGATTAGACAGAATCCATCCAAGCTGTAGATCATTGTGAGTTTGTATGTGCATGTATGTATGTGTGTATGTATGTGTGTGTGGTGCATGCGTGCGTGAATATGTGTGTGCACGAGTATGTAACACTATGTGCCTTTAAAATTGATTTGTAAATCCATAATATGTATCATGTTAAGCGCATAGAGCATTGCATAAGTGGATATGCGCTATATAAATGCAATCCTTTACTATTATTATTATATATATCACATTTTTTATTCACCATGGAATAACCTCAGACAATGTATAGGAGAGAAAAATAATGAGTGCATGGGCCTTTTAAGACAAGTGAGACAGAGAGAATGTTCAACGCTCAGTTGGCTTTAGCATAGAGGCTCATTTCTACGCCACTAGAAAAGTTAATTCTGAGAATTGTATCAAATGATGTGAATGAGAGGAATTTTGAAAAATCAAGACGAGGACCTTGTGAGAGGTACCGCACTGCAGCAGTGTCAAAACGCAACACAGTGTTAGTCAGAACAAGGAAATACATTGGGCGTGATGGGGCCATGTGGAGCATCTTTTGTAAAGCTAACAGTTTCAATATGTGTATTCCTTTGTCATGTAATAAATTATGTAAACATCAGAATTTAATTCTGTCCGCTTGGTTCCTTTATTTTATGTTTCTACCAAATGACTTTGCTGTATTTAAAGCGGTTTTTATTTTATTCTACTCTTTTTGGCAGTCATCGAGTGTGGGACACGTAGTACTTGTATTCAATTTTTTAAATATTTAATTTGTACAATATAGTGATCAACCACTATGATCAAGTGTTGAACTTTATTAATTTGATTGATAAGACTTGGTTTTGCTCCACCTGCTCATTGTTTGTGTGTACCGCTACTGTATTTTTATCAGGTGGAGGGTCTGATTTCTCCAAGCTGTCCAGGGACATCAGTGGCAACATCCAGAAGATCACCCAAAATGGTAACTGTTTCTCTGTCTACATTTCTGTTTAAAAAACCTGAGTTTTAGTCATTTGTATTTTTGTAGTCAGTGAGCTATAGTATAAGCAAAGATAGTACAAGACAAGATGGGCCACTCAGCCTAAAAAGTGTCCGCAGGAAGTATGCTCTTTGCTTCAGATGGCGCTGCAGTCTGTTTTGAAGCTCTCTTTCGTTTTTCCAGAAGAAGAATAGGAATAGCACCTCCTTGCGTGCGCAGATCGACTGCAAGTTCATCAGCAGTTCGGGTACGTTCAGTGCGGAGTTTTAGGGGTTTTTTAATTTTAATATCCTCTCGCCCTTCATTCTAAAGTCAAATTAAACGAAGAAAACCATCTCCTTTTCCTCCGGAAGAATTTTTTGTCAGCGTAACCATTTTTAAAAAGCGTTCTTCCTAAATTTATCCCAAAACTTGCTAGTTTCACTTTGATTTTTAAAAACTCAAGTTGGGTTACTCTGTTCGCAAAGAGTGCGCTTTTGTGAAGAGGGCGCCACCAAATTTTGAGGACACTTTTTTAATTGGCTCAAAGAGAGAAGTGGCCCATCTTGTCTTGTACTATCTTTGGTATAAGTCAGGAAAGCAATCATGAAAGATATTGTATGTATAATATATATATATATAATATATGAACATGATTAGTCAATCCTGTGAAGCACGAGGACCATATTGACAAACGCTGTTCGTCATATATCTTGTATTCGGCGTACTGCTTCTATTGGACACGCTTCATAAAACTAATTAGATTCAAATTCAGCTACATTTTTTCCATGCGGAGTATTCTTTTGATTTTAGACACAGTTTGTCGCATTTACCAACTGGAACTAATTATGAAGTGTAGGCAATCAGCCGCTAAATAGAGGGATCCAAAACTGCTCAGTGAAGCACAAATTGGCCCTGTGTCACAAAAGGGCTGATGTACTTGTTTTCTGATGAGACAAAAATTCGAATTGTAAGAAGTGATATAAAATAGTCTTCTGCACAATACATAGACTCTATCATGGTAGTTTGTGTTTTCAAACTCTGAAGATATTTTTTTTTTCCCCCTTGTAGTTTCACAGATACAAAAGTTTGTCAGTCAGATTGGCACTCCCCAAGACTCTGATGACTTACGACAAAGAGTGTGAGTTGATTGGCTTTGTTTCGGTGTGTTGGACAGCGTTTTAAGCTTTTCCAGTTATTGACCTGCGATGCCTGGGGGGGAAGGTTTGGGCAAATCTAAAAATTAACATTGCTATGACTATGAGTTTTCTACGTTTGTTTAAAATTTAGATCCGTCATTAAAAAAGCCAGTGTTTCCATTTGCGTTGCTTAAACAGTGTTGATTTTTTTCTCTTCTTTTAAATGAAAAGTTGAAAAGGCATCTTGACTGCCTAATTTTGCTCTTTTAATCTTAAAATCCATGCTGGTCATAGAGATGCTGCACCAGGTTATGACAACTTCAGGATGGATATTCCAAAGTGTTGTCTTTGCTATATTTACCCATAGATTTTGGTGAAGTATAACAGAAATCTTTTGAATTTATGGTAACTTTCTAAAATGTAGTTTAGTCTTGGTGTACGTGGGGAACTTATTATTATGCAGGATACAACCCTGTGTTCCCATGGTGATTACTTAGCCTCCAGCTTGAATATTGAAATCTTCTTCAGTGTACTCTTGATAATAATAAGTAATAGATAGCATTTGTATAGCGCAAATCCCCGCTCAACGGCAAGCTCTATCCACTTCACAATCTATTCTATTACCCCAGCAGTCCTGAGAACATTCTGAAATAACCTCAACTTCCTGGGAAGCATACAGTGCAAGCAACCATTTATAGGCGCCAAAACACTAACATACTGACAAAATCTTTCGCTGTCTATTGCCGGGTACCCATTTCCACCTGGGTGAAGTGAGGAAAATTCGTGTAAAGTGCCTTTCCCAAGGACACAACTTCGGGCCCGGGGCTCGAACCCCCGACCCGGCAACCTCACGATTATGAGTCCGGTAGCCTAACCACTAGAACACCGACGTCACATCTTCTCCTGATGTTTTTCTCCTCAAATGAAAACAATGTTCAGGAAATTTGAAAACTGTGTAAGAGTAGCTGAATTTCTGTATAATCTTAATTGCAAGCATACTTAAGCGATTTACATTACCTTCTGTTTCAAATCTACTTAGACTACAGGCAAGTGGTAAAAAAAGTAGGTTCATTGTAACGTGGATAAAAAGACTTAAACTAAAACTTGGGAGCTTGTGGATTTTAATTTGAATGGGACGCGTTTGAATGGGGTCCTGTGAGTAGAAATGTGGGAGAGGGGGGTGGGAGAAGATTAGGGAAATTGAGATAGCATTATAGTCATTCATATGTGATTTGTAGTAGATTTACATTTTTTGGTAACAGTGATTGAGTAGTATGGAGAATTACCGGACTGAAAATTATCACCTTTGTCTGTCATATTTTTTTTTTCAGTCTTAAGTCTAATGATTTTGTCTTTTTTATTGTCTGAACATAAGTCCCTGTTGCGTTGGATGATTTGTGCATTTTTTTATTGTGAACAAATTGTTAGATCATTGTCTTAATTATATTGTAGGCCGAGAGCCAGAAATGGCTAGATCCATTATGCCAAAATGCCAAAAATAGCCAAAATGGAGGCATTCAAATGACACTCCGTCATGCATGCACATATGTCCAATCTGCAAAGAGAAGTTTTTCCACAATCACAATTCTGATGTGTCTATGTCCAAGCATTTTCAGTTAACTTTTTACCATAAAAACATATTTTTCTCAAAATAAGGAATGTGGACATTCTCACCTCTTGCTCTCAGCTGGGGGATAGGCTATGCTTTTAAAAAATTATACTATAATGGCGAGCCAGATATGGAAAGGCTTGAGATATCTGAATACGTTATCATAATATGTCCAGGAACATAACACATACTACAGCCATATATATGTCATTTTTACTTGATAGTTATGTCTGTCTCGGTATTGCAGCAGTGGTTGTATTGTTTTCCAGACACCAGACGACTCACTACACCCATCAGTTGGCCAAGGAGACCAGCACCTACCTAAAGAATTTGGCACATTTACCAACGCCCTCATCGCAGTCAGAGCAAGTGAGTAAGAATGAAATTGTGTTGTGTTCAGGAGCTTAAAGCCCAAAGGCTCCTATGGCAGTTAACTTGCAACGTTATGATTTGGCAGAGAGTTAATCTGAATATACCTGGAATAACTGGAGGGGTAATCTCTGACTCTGAGGTTGACGTGTAATGACCCTGCCTCCTTCACTGTCGCAGGCTGCCGTTGCACATTCTGCCATACCCAGGCCAGTCCATGTTTTAATGTCCGTCCAGGTTACTCTTTTGTGTTCCCCGGGCTCTCCTGCTTCACATCCTTCCTCCAAGTACCTCTTTCACAATGGTCTGGTGTTGTTTTAAGTGACCAAAGTAGTGTATTTTTCTACATTTTGTTTCCTTAAGCAGGGTTTGTTTCGTGTGGAGAATCTCTGACACACCTCGTCCTTATCTCTCCTCCTGCTCTTTTGTGTTTGTTCCTCTCTTGTAACACCTCTAATCCTTGGTGTGGGTGGTTGGCGGGTGCTCTGGTGTGGTCTGCACCTTCTTCATAAGACCTATTAAACATCTATTGTCCTATCTCTCCTCCTTTTTTGCATTTGTTATTCTCTTGTAACACCTCTAATCTGCGGCACTTATATGACCTTATTGTGTTGCAAGTGCTGTAAAACACTTACTAAAACTAAACTGATCTTTGGCACTTATATGGCCTTATTCTTATTGTGTTGCAAGTGGCGTTAAACACTTACTAAAAAAGTGTTTTATGCAATGTGGTTACCTTCATAATGAGATGTTCATGTGTAGAAAGTATAGCATTGTGTCTTTTTTATACAAAAAAAATAAGGTGAAACTGACTTGCACTTTTTGAGGAGAAATAATCTGATTGTCTGTGTGCCTCATCTATCCAACAGCGACAATGGAAAATGCAGAAAGAGAGACTGACTGATGAGTTCAGCAATGCCCTAAAGAATTTCCAGACCACTCAGAGGACAGCAGCCGAGAGGGAAAGAGCTAGCGTTCAGAGAGCCCGGGCTCACTCCGGTCTCGAGAAGGTCAGTGCTCCTGGTTATATTTTTTATAGTCCTTTGTACTCTCTTAACCTTATGGATCTCAAGTGCGGGCCTTAGTGTACTCTACCTTAATCCTTCTGCGCTATGAAGACACAGCTCAATAATTGATGTAGCTAATCACTGCCTAAAAATTACAACGTTCAATGGGATATTTGTGGTTGTTTTGAGTTACTAAGACAACAGTGAGACAAGAAATCAAATGTTTTGTCTCCTCTATCAAAATTGTAAGATTATTCGGAGTCGTTATCAAGTTATTCAAATAATTACATTCGAAAAAGCTTGACAAGATGTGAAACTCAAATTTTTTAACGTAAAATTTCTCAAAATTAGGTACGGAGCAGATACAACTGTGTAATTCTAAGGTAGCAAAATGTTGCTGTCAGCCAAAAGGAGCTCAGGTGCAGGGTTCCTGCATGGCTCAGGGGAGCTAGGGCTGAAAGGGATAATATTTTCACCCGTATGCTTTGTGCTGGAATTTTGGCTAGTGTGTAGTCCTGGCGAATATGTTCTCTTCCACACTTAAGCCCAGCTTCTGTTATTTTTGATTCACTAGTTAATTGCTGGTTGACATACAGCTCGACCGCAACTGAGCAACAGTGAAAAAAATAGCCTCTATGGATACAGAGACGGTAGAAGTTAATGCAGCTCTTTCTTGTCTCTATAAAAAACCCTTGATTTGTTTAATCCCTCTTTTAAGGACCATTTCTTTTTGTCCTACGTCCTGATTTAGTGGCGGATATCTGTGAGTTACTGAGAAGAAAATATGTCAACGTCATAGTAATTGTTATGCTTTTAGAAAAAAATACGAGAAAAAGGAAAATTGTTTTAAATTTGATGAAGATGACGAATATGATGATGATAAAGGTGAGGATGAAATGTTGAATGATTCACAGGATTAGTCTTGATGTTGGTTTATTTCTTTATTTGAAATCCTCATTTGGTCCCTTAAGGCTGTACTGAGGTAGAGTCATAATTGTCAGTCGAATGGTCATAGAGTGACTATTGACTTGGAGGACCATGTCCATTTTATGTTCACTAATTTTTTATTGAAAGAATGATATGTTGTCTTGCTTTTATCTAGAACCAAATACCTGAAGGAGCCTTATTGTATCATTGTACTCTTCTCTTCCACTCAAACTTATTTCTTATTTGTGAAACCTACTTGGAGGCTCTTGTTGCTTCTTCTTCTTCTTTATTTTTAAAACTTTAAAAATTTTTATTGTCATAACACTGGCCTCCATTAATAAGAATCTCTAATTTTACCGTTTGTTTTTTGTTTCTAATTTTAGTCTCCTTTTGACGATGAGCCATATCGTGATGAGCCCATGTCAGGAGCTGGGTAAGTTGTGAATACGAATGACTTCATAGTAAAATATGGTACCTGGTTGTGACCAAAACCACATACAACATATGATTGCATTAACCCCTTCAGTGCCACTGGTAAATAGGCCCCTATGCCGGGGGAAATCCCATGAAGACTGCTCAAGGGTGACCCCACTCTACCTTACATAACTTTTTTGTTCATGAATATTACTTCATGAATTTTTGCTTGTACATTTTACATTGAACCACATTTCTATTGATATAATTTTGGGGGGGGATTTGATTGAGAGATAGATGGTGAAAAGTTTTAGTTCGTACATGATGCCAAAAACAGCGCCACCAAAGATAAACATTACAACACACTTTCGAGTAGTGATAAACTGAGACAAGAAAAAAGGGGAATTATGTTGTGTGAGTGTCTGAGGTAAAGAGGAAAGTGACAAGAGGCTTTGCCTACCTTATACAACGTTCGTACAATCCATATATATGTGTGTGTGTGTGTGTAAGCCCATCTGTGTTTACTGCCAGTAAATCACGTGTGGTAGATATATAGATTTAGATCTAATCTTCTCTGCAAGCTAAAATCTAGATCTGACGCTTTCAAATGGAGGGAAAACGGATGTAAACATAAAGGAAAGTTTGTACAATAATAATTACAAGATTTTAGCAGCAACTTTCCTTATAATGTGTATCAAAACAACCTCTGTCACAGTCCAGTAAATTTTACAGGCCAAAGGCACAGCGCTACTCGGTTCAGGCTCGTAAATTCTACGGGTGGGGCAGCGAAGAGGTTAATGAGCTATATTTTACTGCAATGATAAATCTAAAATGTATTCAGGGGGGGGGGGGGGGGATTACCTACATAGCTGTGGAGAACAGCTGGGTTTTTACTGGACCAGAGTTATAGAAGTTCACTGCAAATTCCTTGTCTTTCCATACTCAACAATACGAGATAAATTGAATAAGGTCCTTTCAATCTATAATGTACTATTTTTCTAAATGGAGTCTTCAGTTGCTTGAGCCTGTAACTGATTCTTTTTGCTATGTTGAAAGTACATTTTTAAAAACTGTGCGACAAAAAGAATTTTGCCTTTAGCTCTCCTTACTTGAGGCTGAGTGCTTGAAAAGTACTGAAATGTTGGTGCAGCTAATAGACTTTTCATTCCTACTTCTGTTTCATTTAAATGTGTTCTCTTCCCCTGTGCTGCTGAAACTATGTTGCTTAGCATCAGTATTCTCCTGTCAGTCTGTTACATACAACTAAGATGTACTTAATCTGCCTTGTGGGTGAAGTGCAGCGACGTAGTGACCTGTTACCGGCAGCTTTTAATTTTTAGCTGTGGCCTCCTCCCCCCCCCCCAATACAGAAGACTTCTTATGTTGGGAACATTTTCTCCTCATATCTCTGCCAATCTGCTGGGATGCCATGTCCTGCTGAGCCCAGCTTGGTCCAGACAGTCAGAGTGGAAGCAGCTGGCTTGCTGTATGACCATACAGGTTTCGATAGGGCTGTAAAATAAAACGAAATCCTTTCCGTTATTTGTACTTTGTTCAACTGTTGTAGATAGTGAAGCATAAACAGACTTGCGAGACTTAACGGTACTTACTCGTCGCTGTGAACTTATTTTGTGTGTTTACTTTGTTCTACTGTTGTAGATAGTGAAGTATAAACAGACTTGTGAGACTTAAAGGTACTTAACTTACATGTCGCTGTGTTGTTGTGTGTCTTGTTCAGGTTCTCCCAGACACGCCAGGTGCTTCAGATGGAGCAGGATGTCGACCTGGAGCTCATCAAGGAGCGGGAGGATGCCATTAAGAAACTGGAGGTGAGCACATGACTGTTGAAGTTGTTGTTCAACTGCATATTTATTGTGCGAACTGTTTCAGGGATGTTTTCACTTCCACATAAAGTACTTTTATCATTAATACAAATTTTAAAAAAAATTTTTGCATTATCTTTTCTGTTATTCCTGCCAAACAGAAGTTCTTGTTGAAGGAGGGGGGGCTTGTCGTTATTGCTTTTAAACTTCAAAGTGCTAGTTCCCAACCAGTTTTACAGGAAGGTTCTCTGATGAGTTTTCTCAAATAGTATTCAGTAACCAAACTCAGGGCGAAGGACGAGACAGGAGGCGTCGCTAGACTGTTGAGCTAGAGGATGTTTTGACTGAAATATTCACCCGTTGTGTGACTACTCTCTCCACAGAGTGATATAATGGACGTGAACCAAATCTTCAAGGACCTGGGGATGCTGGTTCATGAACAGGGAGAGGTGCTGGGTAAGTCAAGTTACAGTCAAAAAGTGTTCAGCGTTCTTCTTCTACCTTTTTTTTCATCTTCCTCTTCCGTCTACTTTTCTTCCTCCTCTTATTATTCTTCCTATTGGCGTTGTTGTTGTTCTCCTCCTCCTCCTCCTCCTCCTCCTCCGCCTCCTTCTTCTTTAGTTTTAGTAACGTTTTACGGCGCCCGCAACTCAGGGTGGCCAGGGAAGTCAGAAATTGGTCGGAAATTTTTGTTTAGGTTGGATAAATCGGATGTTTGTCGTAAAAGATTTTTTTCGGGCGGAAATGGTTGGATCAACATTGGCAATAAAAGGAAATTTGAGGAAATCTGTAAGTTGCCTCGGGAAAGACCCGCGAAAATACGTAAAAGCTCTTGGATATTTGAAAACCAAATCCAATAACGTCCCTAAGTTCATTTTGTCGGTCGCGATCCTTCGGCTTTTCCCGGTCTGAGAGTGAGAGTACGTTTCATGCGGACCGGCGGCTATGGCGGCAAGCGGAAACGTATGAGTGATATCGGGGCTCAATCGGGAGAATCTAGATCTACTTTCGCTTTCACAACCACCCTGAAATTTGCCAGTCTGATAACACAACATTGTAACATGCAGTTTGTGCATTACAAAGGCTGTGTCGCTATGAAAATAAATCAATATTTGTCTCTTGTGTAAAAAGAAAAGAAAGTTTTACAAGCGTCTTGTCGGACTCGCCATCGTGACCGGTCAGTGAACGTGCGTGTTTGTATGTCACACACATGATAATGCGTCGAGTGAGTACCGCGAATGTTGGGGTCACCAAAGTCCATTCTAAGTCTGAGCGCTGCGAAGTATAGGACTCTGGAATGGCGGCATATTAAAAAAAATAATTAAGATACACGGGGGGGATGTGTTAAAGGCAACACCAGGGGATAAAAACTGAACTTGGTAGCAAATTTTAGCATTAGCATTTAGAATTTTGATTGCAACGAAAGCTTTCTGCATAGCGCGAGGGCGTGTGTGTGTGTGTACGTACGTGTGTGTACGTGTGTGTGTGTGTGGTGAAACACCAAACCAATGTGCCAGGATCTGGACAATAAAGATTTATCTTATTTTAACTTATCTTATTTTAGGGAGAAGCACATCTGTCATACCTTGTAGGCCGTGTTATTGAACTTTAGGGTTCGCGTTTCATTGAATGGGTGATAGTCAAGGCGAGCTAGTAAGCTCGGTGATATTTATATAGAGAGGGATATGATATATATACTAAGTTGGTTGGTGAAAGTGACAGCATCTAGATTCTTTATCTATGACCATGGAAAAACTCAGCAAGATAGTCTTTGAAGAGTAGAAGATTGACGGCACTTGGCATACTGAAACCCAGGCTAGAGACAGACTTCTTTTTCTTAGATTTTTGTGACTATATTTGTAGACTATAATTAGAGGGAGATCTAGACTAGATCCAGTATCATGGGAAAGTGCTACTTATTTAACACTGAGTGGTTGTCCAACCCTAAGTATTCAGAATGATTGATGGAGTATCCATATGATAAAGCAAGTTCAGATGTAAGTTTTGTTCCCAAGTGTATGTCACGGTCATTCAGGTGGTACCTCAAAAACACATGAATGCCCAAACCAGCCATTGTGGTGCCAAATCTATTCTTAGGTTTACCAAGAACGGAACAAGTGTTGTGAGCGATACTGAAAGGAGCACCAACAGTAATATAATAGTAATCAACTAGAGCAGTTTTTGACCCGAGTTCTCTCTTTCATGAAATGTTTTCAGACTCTAAAATAGCTGAGTTTCAGTGTAGTCGCACAAAACTTCGCTACCTTAGAACAATTGGGATCGCAGCGGTGATCAAGTCCACTATCCTAAGATGTGTACGAAATAGCCCCTTCTACGTGATTCTCTTTGACGAGAGCCATAACACTGACAATGGCCAGAAATAACTTGACTTATAGTGGTAGGATTTTTTTGGGAGTGGTAGGATTTTTAGCAGGAAGATTTCCCTGGCCACCCTGCAACTGCATAAGGTCATATGAGTGCCATCCTCGTTCTTCACCTCCTCCTCCTCCCCTGTCTCCCTCCTCCACCACAAATATAACTGCCTTTCAAAGTGCTAGTAATTTGCTGTTGAGTTTTTCTTTAAGGAGCACTGGATCTTGTAATGGGCTTTCCTCAAACAGATGTTCTGTGCATGTGGTTGTAAGGGGGGGGGGGGGTAATTGGTATCCATTCCTTCAAAACTGTTGACATTTACGTGTTATGCTATTGCTTAATGTGAGACTATATCTGATGGTGATACCCACTTTCCGTCATGTGGACCAAGCTCTCTGTTGTTTCTGTCTGCCTGCCTTACTTTGAATTTTGAAGTAAATGACTGTTATCTTGCCAATGTGCTTTTCTTTACCCAAACTCGGCTACCAGCGAGTCATGAAGTATGTCTTAGTCTTCAAACTTTTCCCACTCCCTATTAGAGAACCGTTTCTCGTCACAGGCAGATATTCTGAAAGGAACATAATGGTTTTATTATCTTTGAAACTTTGCAGACAGCATAGAAGCCAACATTGACAATGCTCAGCTGTCTGTTGAGGAAGGTACCAAGCAGCTGAGTAAAGCTAGGGACTATCAGGTAAAGCCTATTGTCTTGCACACAGCACAGTTTCTCTTACATTTTTTAAAAATTTCGTCTTTTTTTGTGTGTTGATATATGTACAAGTTCAGAGATTGGTGCTATCTAAAAATTCACTGAATTCAAAATTTGTTCAGATGTTGACTCTCAACCAGTAGTGTGTTATAAAAAGTGGAAGTATGCAATCCAGCCCAAAGGGGTTGAATCTCAAGGGAATAGTGTGCGTGTGTTTGTGAGGGGTTGGGGCTGCTACTGAACCACTTCAGGGTAGGATGGACATTTTTTTCTTTTCTGTGTTCTCACTATGTTTCGTTTGTATATCTCTTTGCAATGTGTCGATCAAGGGTTTGGTCTTGAGGTGAAAGGTCCTTTTCTTTTTGGTATAATGTGAAGAATTTTGTTTTTCCTTCTGTATTCTTTTAATTTCCAAAAAGTGATCCCCTTGGAACCTCACACTTTGAGACATACCCTCAACTGACCTGTTTACATCTTGCAGGAATTTAAACTTGTACATAAAACAAATTAAAGTTCAATAAGAAAAAGGTAGGGTTGGGGAGGGGGGGGGAGTTTGAACTCTTTTTTATGGTTTATAGTTTATATTTAAAAATGCGGTATCTTATACCTGATACGGATGGTCTTTATTTTTTCCTGAGTTTTATCTATCTCTGAATTGTGCATTGTGTCGTACATTTTACTGTTGAACTTTTGGCTATCAGACTTGGTGACTGAGATACACATGGATGGTGTCATGCACCAATGGGCCTACTCCACAAGGGTCTAGTCTAAAACTTGTTGTCTGGCGATGTCAAATACATTATAATCTCAGTAAATTCTGTAAGACTCGGAACAAAAAGAACTGGATGAACCACTGACACAAAATTTGATCTGAAGTGGTCTTTGACAGTTTAATTATAACATTTTTAGCCTCTTCTGTTTAAAAGGCTTAAGGCCCCCACTCACTACACTGTTCTCGATCTCAAGACTGCCTCAAGATGATCTTGAGATGGTCTCGAGACGATCTCAAGGCGGCCCTAAGGTGGTCTCAAGATGATCTCACGTTCGGATCCATGAGCAATCTCATTTTGTGCCCACACACTACACAGGCCAGCACATTATCAAAATGGCTCCCTCCCAAAGTGAAGTTACTGCAGGCTGTAAAGTTTTGAGTACTTTGCTTAAGAAAAAAAGGGGGGAAAAAAATTGTGGTGCAAACAATGGCTTCTTCAGCGGGAGGAATTCACTCACACGCATTGTACTCCTCGGATTATGAAATTATTTACTTATGGACGAGGACTCACAACTTGGTCTTTGAGGAACAAAATCTCTTCATTATACTATTGTCTTGGTGTGTAAATGTCTTGAGTTACAGCACCTGAAACTTTTCCGTTTTCAACTTTATTATACTCTTTTCTGAACACGCATCTTAACGGGAGGAGTGACACTTTGTTTGGACGATTTTGGGTCAAGCTATGCAAATTGAGATGCTCGTTGATTTTTTAAGATTGGCCAGTTCTTTGTCTAAAGATAGCAAGGAGACAATTGAGAAAGTCTTTATTCTCGTTGTAAAGTACCATTGAAAACATGAGGGTAGTGAAAATATAGTGGATTTTCGCAATAATTGTCTTTTTTCTCCAAATTTCATTTTTTTTGGTCGGCCCTACTTCTTCCTTAGTGTTTATCCTTTTGACATGAAACTTTCACGAAACATAGATGCCATCAATGTAACAGAGAGATATTTGCTAAAAAAATAACACTTATCCCTTGGCAAACGATTATGCCACCAAAATTTAGAAAAGGTTTATATATACATTCGGAAAATTCTTATATTTCTTTTGTTCTTTTATACTTATTGAAAAAAACTGGCCGTTACGATGATAGGGACTGGTTCAGGTATACTCTCAACAAATTTGGTCAGTAAATAAGAAAGCCTTAGGGATTTGAAATTCATTGTTTATTTTCAAGATGGCGTCAGTTTCCATAGCAAACTGCTGTAGCTATTCAAAAATAACTTACGTAGATTTGATCTTGGGCAACAAACATAGAAAATGGACCTTGAGGGTGGCTCCTCCTGCTAACTTAAGTTATTTTTTTTATTACTCTATTCTGACAAACATTCTTGTCAGAATTTTGCACATATTCAACTACATTGTTGTATGTGCGGTCTCTTAGAATTCGATTGCTATAGTCTTTAGATTTTATTTTCCACAGTATGAATTCAGTCTAGATCTCTGGCTTGCTGGCTCAAGCAAAGAATGATTTATTAACATGACTAAATCAAGCGTTTGATAGCAGTGTTTCGTATCAAATCCCTCCTGAATTTGACACTGATGAAGATTCTGAAGTCAGATTTGCAAAATTTTGACTTTAGCACCTTTTATTTTTAGCGCCGAGTAGCCGGATCTGCGATCTGATAGATAATTTTCAGGCTCGTTCTGAATTCAAGCGATCCCACAGTTTATTGAGATTTTAAACTGAGCAGTCTGCAATTTGGTCTCCAGTTGATCTTAAGGTCATTGTGAGATCATCTTGAGATCGAGTTTAGTTGGTCTTCAGTCCATATCAAGACGGGCACACCCTTTTAACTGCGTAGTGAGTGGCAGGATTTTGAGGGACCCATCTGTGCCTGACACAGTCGACATGTGTTCTTGGATACTTGGAAGAAGTGCATGTATGTTGGTAGAGGTTTTCTTTTTCGGTGTGGTTTGCAGGCATTAGCAAATGGGATATATATACATGCTCCAAATAGAGAGCTGTCACAATGACATTGTGGTCACAGTTCACTTAGAAAGGACTGACACATTTCCTTTACTTATGAAAAGTCAAATGCCTCTTTTTAATTGTCCAAGGTATTGTAGGCTTGGTTTTTATTTCATGGGTATGCTGTCTTATTTTTTAGAAGCATCAAATGTTTAAACATTTATTTCATCGCTTTTCATGCTTGTTAACTTGGAAATGTTTATGCGATGCTAAATATACTATAGACTGTGATAAAAAATATATCAGCAGAGAAAAAGTGGAAGCATATCATAGAAATTGTGTTGTTGGTAGTGTTAGACTGTTGCTTAGGTGTTGTTCATATATTGTAAATTTGATATGCATGTATTATGTTTCTCTTTAAGCTGGGATGAACTGATTTCTGTTGTTTTAAGTTAATTCTCATTGTTCTTTGGTTTTGTGCACTTATATTGTCTTGGTCCAAAGGAGTTCACTGAACAAGCTGAATGAATTTGGGAGGGGTGGGGGTGGGGGGAGATTGAGCAAATGTTTTTGCTATGAAAGGATCTCCTCTTTAAAAAATGTAGACAAGTTACAGGGTTGTGCAAAACATTATAGTTTCCCAACTTTTAGTTCAAGCAGATGAGTAAACTTTGTTGTGAATTTATGGATAGATGGCTTTGGTGAATTCCTTTGTGATTCTCTGTGAAAGGAGCTCTTTTTCTTTGTGTTTTAAACTTTTATTTTCTAGATTGCTCTTACAGATGACCCTCCCACGTTAAGGCCTCAGCATCCAGATCATGAGGAAAAACTACACAAATATTTCCCCCTCTCCTCCCACCCTATTCCCACCCCTGCCCCCAAGGCAAGCAAAACACGTCTTATTTGATAATGCACCAAAATTTGAAGAAAAAAAGAAAAAGCTCTCAACTTTCTTATATTGCACTTACAATTTGTGCACTTTTTTAGTACACTTGTTTCACTAAAGAGTTTCAATTTTATGGCTTTTTTTTTTTTTTAAAGATTTGGTTGTGATTGTCAGAATCATTGCCATCATTGTTCGGCGCGTCTCCCATTTCCTGTCTATTTGTTCCAAGTCATTCTTAGTGGACTGGACTTATAGTCTCGCGGTTCCCACCACAAAAATTCTGAACGGTGACGTTGGAGGGTCAGCTGTACCAGCACATTTTACTTTCTTTGCTCTTTTTAAAATTTATCTTACAAAGTCATTTTTGTTCTGTTTGGTTTCGTTTCAGTCCAAAGCCAGACGAAAGAAGTGCTGCATTTTTGTGATTATTGTAGTCATTCTTGCTATTATAACCACGATCATTGTCGTCTCCGTGAACCAATGAGTAAAGGCGAGGATCATCTCGGGTGTGCCTCTTTTTCTTTTCCCTTTTAGTTTTTGTCATCACTCAACCTATTCCCTGCGCTGTTAACAAATGCCATATATATGTATGTGTGTGTGGCATTGTGGTGAAATTAGGCACTCGTCAAAATAATTAAATTGAAGAAATCAACATTTTACCTCCCATTGGTCAATTTTTATTGAATTAATTTTTTAACTCAACACCTCATATCCATTTCTGTGTTATGAAAAACATTGATCAAATGCACCCAAAAAAATTTGCTTTTTCCAAAGACACTAAAGCTTTGGTAGTTATCAAACTTTGGTGGCCATTTCCTCGCTAATTTTACCTCAGACTCTAAATGACCGGATAGTTTTTTCATCAAAAGCTAGACATATGAACAAATTTGAAGATTATATCAATAAATTCAAATTCCGAAAAAATTGACGAGCACCTGATTCCACCATGTGGTGACACATATGACATTGTGTCAATGTTGATGTCCAGCAAATCTTTAATGAGGGAGGTGTACAGAACTAGCAGAAATATCTCCAGCACAGGGCAGGGAACAAGGAAACAAAACTTTGCTGGTTTATTTAGTCGTTTGCTGTCTTGTTTCAAAACAGAACACCAATCAATTTTCTGGCTTTAAAAAATTCTATGAAATTTTAAGCTGTTTAGTACATTCTGTGAATTATCTGTTTGTTTGTTTTAGTAGAGGTTTTACAGCGCTCGCAACTGCATCAGGTCATATGAACGCCAGAAGATTAGAGGTGTTACAAGAGAGTAACAAACATAAATAAGAAGGAGGAGAGATAAGAACGATAGATGTTTGATAGGAAAGAAGAAGCAAACCACACCAGAGCACCAGCCAATCACCCACTGAATTATCTGTGTGTTGGGGAGGGGGGGGGGGTAGGTTGGTTTCTCAGGGACTACCCATTAATAAAAGTAATATGGAACAGTTAGCTCTGTGCGTATTGTGCATGAGAAAATGGTAGAGACCAGCTCTACGTCTTAGGTTTTCCTTTTGCTTTGGCCCTTTCTAAGAAATTATATTGAAAAAGTTACCAGTGAGGTTTTAATACTTCACTGATTTCTTTCATGAACAGTGGCAATTCCAGTCTCTGAGTACTGCTTTTTGTGATTTTTTGTGACTTTCTGTACTCGGATGTACATTCCTAAATATTTAATTAGGTGTATAGTTGTTCTGTCTTAGATGCCTTCTGTCCTAATAATAATAATAATAAATAGCATTTGTATAGCGCATATCCCCGCTCAACAGCAAGCTCTATGCGCTTTACACTATATTATTACCCCAGCAGACCACAGAACACTCCAAAACATTCTCAGCTTCCCGGGAAGCATACAGTGCAAGCAGCTGATTAAGCGCTCAAACACTAACAAACTGACAAGATCTTTGGCTTTCTGGGCTTTTGTTCTTACTGTCTTCTTGCTGGGTGGAATGCTATTCCTTAACTATGACACCTGTTTGGGTGTAACAGAAAGTCAAACCCTGACTGTGTTCTTTGTGCACAGAACGTACAGATATCTCATACTGTCTGAAGAATAGAAGGAACAAATTATGTTTTCGTGCTGTAAATTTTATAATTTCATGGCCAGTAATCTTCTAGCTGTATGTTTGATTTTGAATAAATGGCACAGAAGAGTTAAGAGGGAAGAAAAGCCTCATTTCTAGTTTTAAAAAAATTATTAACTGATTTTAGAATTTTCTAGATATTTTGTTTTATGAAGTGGAGTGGCATTGATAGCTTAGTGGTTAAGCTACCAAACACGTAATCGTGAGATTGCGGGTTTGGGGGTTTGAGCCTCAGCTGGATCTGACGTCGGGTCCTTGGGAAAGGCATTTTACCCAAATTTCCTGTTTGGCTCGGTTTTCTTCAGAAATGAAAGTTTAAACTGGGAGGGCCCACCTTTTCGTGTTGATAACGGCGTGAAACATATACCATTTCACAGGTTCATGTTTTGTGAAGATGCTTCAGTTTGTCAACCAGATAGATCAAATCTAGTGAATGGGTGGTTGGAGGGTCCCACTGTTAATGTTAGATCCTACTTCTTTACTTTCCCTCCATTATATCTGTCTCTCTGTTTTACTTTTCCCCAGCACTAAATGACCATTATTGTGTCGTTGTGCTTCTCTTTACTCAAACAAATTTAATCAAATCATGTGCCGCTTGGGGATAGTCTACTAGTATCTTTAAAACTTGAGTCTTTGTCACCGTTCACTGTAGATAGTATTTTGTTGCTTTCTTCGCTTTGCTTTGCTTTTGTTTGGTTACTATTTTTTTTCATAGTTAGTTTAGTTTGAGATTTCAGTTTCTTGTGTGCATTCTTCTGTAAATTTATCCTGTCATCACACTTTTCCTGAAGTTTATATTGTTACTGTTTTGACATGATGATTAAGTAAGTTATATATATTCAGAGATAAAAAGCCTTGTCTTGTCCTTTCTTTCTTTTTACTTTTTCAACAACCCCCCCCCATGTTTAACCCGATGAATACGAAAGGGGGTCAGGAATGTTTTCCAGTTCTCCATGTTCTCTAATGAGATGTTTTTTAAAAAAGGTGTGAATTTTCCTTGGGGGGGGGTACAGTTTTAGATAAATAACACGCAAAGCTTTCTAGTATGCCTTTTAACACAAGAGACGCTAAGATGTATCCTTGACTTTCTTTAAAGAACGTGTCACACCATAAGGAGCCTGTTGAGCGTTTGAGCAAAACATGTAGTAACACAATGTTTTAAAGTCTGATTTCTTGTCTCTGGGGATGTACGCCATTAAGCCATTCTGCCAAGCAGTGAACCATGTATATGGTGCAAAAGATTTTGATAATCTTAGTTCATACCGGCCCAAGAACCATTACTTTCTTCTAATCTATCTTCTGTTTTGTGGTTTGGTGACTTGCCTCTGAAATTGTCTGTGGACTGTTAGACATTTTCGGAGGGTTCTTAACTTTTTGGAGGATTTTTTGGGGGGGAGGGACATTAAGGAAAGGTTACTGAGCAGATTATTTTGAAATTTTTAATGACGTTTCCATAAATGTTTTGGGTGTTTGATCTGAATTCATGCTCAAATGCCTTTTATAACATAGAAGTAAACCTGAGAGTGTTCCAAGAGTGGCTGATGGGTGTGACTTCTCCTTGAACTTTTACCATCCTTTCTTCTATTCTATCTACGTTACCTATTTTTGTTTGCCCTTTTCTGTCCTCTTTCTCTTGTGCGATTTATGTGGTATTATATACTTGCTTTAACTGTTTTCTAACTCATATGGTAATTGGCTTTTGTCTTTGTAGGCCAAGTCGCGCCGGAAGTGCTGCATTTTCATCATCGTTATTATCTTCATCATCCTCATCTTGGCCCTGGTCATCTATCTGGCTGTCAAGTGAATGATGTGACGGTTGCTGTTTTCCTCCTTCACCTGTGCCCGTCTTTTTTTTTTTCCTTTGCTTTCTAAGATCCCCCCACCCACTTTCCCTCCCCCTCCCCCCTCCTTCCTCCCGCCCACCCAAGGACTCATCCTACTTCCACATCATGTATGAAGTGGTGGGTTTCATTTGCACCCCCTATTTATTTCTGAAGACTTGGGGGGGGGGGGGGGAACCCCCCCCCCCCCCCCCGTCTATTATTTTCCTCTTGTAATGTATGTGGAGCTCTGAAGAGACCAAGATGTGTGAAATGTTGCTGTGTGCCGTCTGGGATGTGTACAGGGTGGGAGTTGTCAGTTTGGTTACCGGCTGAACAATGTAATTGTTGTCAAAAGTTGTTATTTAGCAACGGTCACTGGATGGTGAAATGTCCTGGAGAGTGAAGCGTTCTCTTTCGTAGGGTTTCCTCTGTATGCATGGTGTCGTCACAGTATGTTAGTGGAACCTGTTGACTTTACTCGAGACTTCACCGCGGCATTTGTAGCAAAGTGACCAACACTGAAGTTTAAAAATGTGTCTATAAATGATCATTCTTGGAATCTGGTGTATATGTGATCTTTTTTTTTCTACCCTATATAAACTTAAAAGAATTGTGTTTTGACGCAGTGGAATCAGGCACTCGTCAATTTATGGGCATGTAGAGTTGTTTTGTAATATCTTATGGCCTGTTCATCTGTCTTGCTTTTTAATGAAAATAAATACCCATCTGTCCTTAATAGAAATCGAGATACTTGCAATTGAGGGAGGTTGGGGGGTCGCCTGGTGTCGGTGTTAAAATTGGTGAGAAATTTGCCGCCAAAGTGTGACTTCCATAGCTAGAGAGTCCTTGGAAATTGAAAATATTCACTTTTTGTGCTTTTATTCAACATTTATCAGAAAATCCACATAGAAATGTGTTTTTAAATGGACACAAAAGATGTTGAGCCAAGAAACAAACATTCGATAACAATTGTGGAACTGGCAAAAAGATGCTGGTTTCTTTGATTTCATTATAATGACGAGTGCCTGATTTCACCACATCTCACATATTCTCTGTAATTGTTCTCAATCTGCTCACAGATTCCTTTAATTGAAATAAGGAGACAGAATCAACCCCCTCCCTCAAGCGCCCCCCCCCCGTTTCTTGGGTCGAATTTCCCTCGAGCCCCATAAAAGAAATGGAACTTTTTCTTTTATTTATGCTTGGGGACATTATTTTCGTTCTTATGATATTTGCTTAGAGGGTTTCAACGAGGAACATAGAATCTGGTTCAACTTTTGTCTCCATTTATCTATTCTTCTTTATTATGTTTGTCTCTAGTATAAAATGCCCACGAGCGCTCTCTCTCTCTCTCTCTCTCTCTCTCTCTCTCTCTCTCTCTCTCTCTCTCTCTCTCTGTCTGTCTGTCTGTCTGTCTGTCTCTCATTCTCTTTTTTCTCTCTATCACTGCATTCCTCTCATTCTCTTTCTTTCTCTCCCCCCCTTCTCACCACCCTTTCCTCTCCTTCTCGTCTCTTTCTTTCTCTCTCTCTCTCTCTCTCTCTCTCTCTCTCTCTCTCTCTCTCTCTCTCTCTCTCTCTCTCTCTGTATTTGC